TGGGGAGGGGGAATTCGGGGCGGGTTGGGGGGGGTTTCGGGTAGGGCCGTGGGGTGAGGGCCCTGTCCGTTGTCCCTTAGGGACCTAAGGGTCCGTACCAGCTGTAGTTGGGGGGGGTAGGCTCCGGTAAGAGGTAAGTCCGGGGGGAACAAGGTAACAGCCCACGGCATGCATGAGGGAAGGGGCCCCACACGCGGCGGCGGCAGCGGCCCGAAAAGGGTTTTGGGGCTAAGAGGGCGACGGAAACCGAGTCGGGCCCCCGGGTTTTGTTGGGTCAATCCGGGTGGCAGTCGCGGCGGGAAGGGGACATGGCGGCCGTGTGTATGTGTATTGGCTGTACGGAGGATCCGATGTGATTTTTTAAAGTTTTCTGTCCCAACGTGGAAGGGGGCGGAGGGGAGGGCAGGTAGTACGGCATGTGGCCGAGCTCCACAGATCAACGAAATCCGGGTGGCATTGGTGGGGACCCGGGAAGAAGGTAAGTCGGCTTCGCGAGAGGGAGAGACGGAAGGAGGGGGCGATCGGATTTATTATCTCCTCCTCCGCCGCCATCATTTCTCCGTGTGGTCCCTGTGGTCCCGTGGCGGGTATTTCCCCTGCTCCACTGCCCTCCTATATATCCCACCGGTACGGCGACCGGTCCCCGGTTGGTTGGTTGGTTGGTTGGTCCCCAGGGTGGCGACGGCGCCGCTGACGACGGTGTACAGCAGCCCCAGCGGCGGCGCCGCCACAGCGCGGGCCTGTACGACCTTCACGAGCCGCCGCGGCCGCAGCTGGACAGCCTCAGCATTGCCGACCCCCGACGGTACTTCGAACGAGTGAAGGACGCGTTCGGGGCCGGGGATGACGGAGGCGGTGGCGGCGGCGGTGGCGGCGGCGGGTTGGGGCCGGGACCCCTAAGGGGCCCACACGGCCCGGGGGGCCTGAAGGGGGTGGCAACTGTGTTGTCGTACGTTTCCCCCGGCGCCCTTCCCCTGGTCCCCCTGGACCCTGCCGCGGCTGAGGGGGCGCTGCTCGAGGCCACACCCCTGGCCCGGGCGATGGCGGAGGACGAGGCGGCGGGTGGGTGGGTGAGAGGGCTGTGTGTATGTGTGTGTGTATATATCTTGGTATGGGGTGAACAGGGGGTGTATCCGCTGTTATGAGTTTCATTTTCAATGTCCCAGTGCTCGTCATGGCTCCCATCTCTTCAGAAAGCAAGGAGATCTTAGACGCAACCAGAACCGGAACCACTCAGGTTGTCGGTGGAGCGGTGCGTAATGAGAAATTTGGAAAATTGGGACTTGTCAACTTAATTTTCGCATACCATGAAACATATATCGCCTGCCTGCCATTTAAGCTAATATAGCCACGCTGCGTACCCTGGGGGGACTGGCGGTGTGGGAGGTCTGTCCACTCCCTTCAGGGTTACCTGAGGTGATGGGTCGACAGGTTGCTTTCTTCTGGGGGGGGGGCCAGGGGCGGGAGAAGTCAGTGTAGGCAGGTTGAGGGGCAATCTGCAATCTGCTGTCCGAGGGAAGGAGACGCAAACCTTGTATGATACATGCTGGGGGTTAGGGGATCCCTACCTGCCGTACATGCTGGGGGTTAGGGAATCCCTACCTGCCGTACATGCTGGGGGTTAGGGAATCCCTACCTGCCGTACATGCTGGGGGTTAGGGAATCCCTACCTGCCGTACATGCTGCCCAGTACCAGCCTGGGGGGGCTGCAGCCAGGTGAATCCAGCCACCAACTCTGCGCCGCGATCATCTTCATCGCGATGTTGCCAACCCACCCACCCGCACAGAACCGGCTCCATCCCTGATCCTTTTGTACGCCCGACAGCTTAGCAACGCATGCATTTTTAATCCTCGATTTTGGTTGCTGTACCATATCATGTACGAGCAAAGCCGCTGCGCTTCCCGGGCACTAACCTGCCGTACCTCCATTATTACCCCGCCCGATTCGTCCCCACAGCCCCTAGCTAGCTAGTCGAGTAATACACACCTCGACAGCCAAGCCACCTCGTACGGCAAACACGACGTGACAGACGTGTCAGAGCTAGAGGCGGGTTTTCCTAGGACTTCCGCTTTCTACCTATAACTACCTATACTACCCATAACTGCTTAACTAACTAGTCAAACTCCACCCGCAGGTCCCGGCGGTTCCGCCGTGCCCCGACCCGGCGGGGGTGGGGGGGTGTCCCGCGACCCGTCGTCTTCCGTACCGCCCGAGACGTTGGCTTTCCTGCGCCGTACAGTCCTGGCAGCCAACGAGGCGTGTCGCCACTTCTGGCGCAACCTGCCCGCGAACACACCTGCCCGCCGGGATAAGGTGGGGGGGGGGAGGGGCGGTGCAGCGGGTGTTACGACACAGGGGAGCAACGAATAGGTTGTCTGTGCAAGCGCACGTTCCCCCGGGGAAACCCCGCCTCACCACCCCACCCCATCCCACCCCACCTCACCCCACCCCACCCCACCCCACCCCACCCCGCCCTCTCCTCCACGTGTCACTCACTCAGGCTGGTCGGCTGGCCAAGCTGTTGGAGGTGAAACGCTCCGAGGTGGAGGCCCTTAACGACCGGGCCCGAGGTGTGGAGGGCAGGTTCATCAGGCAGTTGTTGAAGCCGCCCATGGAGATGCTGCTGGCAGCTCTGGTCCGGTAAGGGGCAGGGGGCAGGGGCAGGGGCAGGGGCAGGGGGAGGGGTATGTTCCGGTCTGAAGCCATTATCAATCTCACTGGCGGTCCCCTTGCTAACCACACACACACACACCCGTCAGGTGGGATGAGGAGGTGCAGAAGCCTGGCAGAGGCCAACAGCAGCACCACCAGCACTAACAGCAGCACCACCACCAGCACCAGCAGCACCAGCATTAGGCAGTGCCAGCGGCTGCTGGAGATGGCGGCTGGACCCACAGCCCAGACAACACAACACGCCGTTGATGATGATTCCTCCTGACGATGAAAGGAGGTATCTCTGACATGAGCTGTTAGCAGTGGCATGCGCAGCATAGGGGGGGATACGGCATAATGGCGATTGATGACTCAACACCAGCTTTGCAGCAGCCAGCTGTGGCGGCGGATGTGGCTGCAGGCAGGGCGGTAGCCGGGCGGCTCTCCTCCGTTAGGCAGTAGCCCGGTGGCTCGCTCGCGAGTGTCTGTGTCCCAATCCAGTGAACACTGAAGGGGAGGGTGCTTGGGTGCATGAGCCACTGCTGGGTGTGCGCGTGTGTGGTTGAGGGAAAAAGGGGGATCGGTTTTGTGCGGAACGAGGGAATATGTGTGTGTGTGTGTGCAGTGGGGGATACCTGGGGACACACCCCCCCAGTTCCGTTGCCTTGCGGACGTGCACGGTAACATGGTAGGGTGTGGTCCAGGAGGGGATTGGGATCCCGGTGGCTCTCGCCGTACAGAGTGTGAGTGTACGGGTTTACGTGATGTATCTAGATCAGTCTCCTTGAAATACATGATGAGAGCTAGGAAGGGCAGGAAGGGGACCGTGCGCGCGTGTTTGTGGGGGGGGATGGGGGGAAAAGGGGGGGAATGTGGGTGTGTAAGTCATTGGAAAGGAAGTGCGTGCAATGCGTATATAGCCGTAGGGTACTTCACCGGCCCCCTGCTCTCCTAAGTCGGCTCGGCAACGGGGGGGTGGTGGTGGTGATGGAAAGGTCACTGCCGGGGTGTGGGTATCGGGCCTCGGACCACTCGGCTCCCCCTATCGCGCCTGAAGCTCTCCACGCCAATGCGGTCAGCTGTCCTTCCCGGGTGAATGGGGTCAGCTGTCCTCCCAGCCGCTGATGGTATTGGTGCTGCTGGATTGCGCCGGGTGGGCACGTGTGTATCACATGTGCCTTTCCTCGAAAGGCCGCGGGGTTGTGTCGACGTCTCTCTCGCACCTGCTGGCGGCAGGGAGTGTTGTAGACGTCGAGTGAGCCGAGGGTAGGTGGGGATGGCGGCAGGTGCTGTGCTGTGATGGCCATCCGCTGGGACATGTAACGGGATGACGAGGGGCGGGGGGGGGGGGGGCCCGGTGCCGCGGCTGCAGGTAGAGGTTAATATGGGGCCTCGCCTAAAGCACGCCCTCATTCGGATAAGGCCCCCAAGAACCGGCGAGCCTTAATATGGACTGGCTACTAGGTGCATCCTATCTTACAAATATGCAGTTTCATCGCCCTGGCATGTCCCAAACGTCAACCATGGCCAAAGCCCCGCATCCTGCACAACCCTGCACATCTTAAACGAGCTCTGCTGGGCACTTAAGGTTGAGGATACCGCTATTGCTTGGCCCCTGCCCGGCCGCAACGGAGGACGTAAACTAGCTGTTGTGATGTAAACCAGCTTCATCTTCCTTCCACACCGAAAGAAACTAAAACCTTGAAAAAAGATTACACTTGGTTTTGCGTGGTACGGTACAGAACGGCATGCCACGGCGTGACGCAATACCAAGAAGCTCGCGATCTCCTCATCAGCTCTATTTGCTTCTAGCGGCAGCATATGAACGCATTAAACGCATTAGCAAGCGATGCATATCGAGCAAGTTTTGCGAGCCTCAAAAAGACGAAAAGCATGTACTTTTGGACTGCCCAGGTGGATCAGACTATGAAGAGGGATGTGATGGTGGCCGCGTTTGGTGACCAGCAGCTGAAGTTGGCGAGCCGCATCCACAGTACCTATCCGGCTAAGGAGGGTTTCAAATGGCAGGTAGTATCGCACTGGTACGTCATAACATTCTGGATAGTTCGGCTAGTTCGACATCAGTTTCCCTTTGAGCTATAGGGTGGTGGTGGGGGGGGTCTTGTGCGATTTTACGACATCTATCTGTTTCGGACAGCCTTTTGCCCTCAGGTTACACCTTTCGAGAGTCACGCAACTCAAGGTGTAACACACACAAAAAAAAACGTGAACATATGTATATGTACATACAAAAAATCAGATGTATACCATCATCGTCCAGGGTTTACACACGGGACCTGACACGGCGGGACTTTGCACATGGCGGGCCTACAACGACTTCTCATCTGATTCAAGACGGTTGGTTAAGACAAACTACTGTAAGCGGTTATTTTTTTAATTGCAATCCTGCAACGTGACGTTTAAGAAAAAAGAAAGGAGAGACAAGTAACCCATAGCTTTGGAACTCGTGACCAGGACCGCACATATCAATGGCCTCAGCGATTTCTTGACAGACAAAGACCTGCGCGGATCCTATTTCGCATGAAATCTTCGCGAAAGCAAACAACCTTCATATGCAACGATATTATTTTTCTCCAAGATACTTAATATAATATCTCACAACATCTCTGGTTGGCTTCGGTGGAGAAATATGCCAAAAAACAACTTGAAGCCCTCTGTCCTGCTGCCCGCAGCTGGGATCAAGAAGCCTCAAGGCGCAGAAGCGACTCAAGATGAGCCAGGCATCATCGCCATCAAATTGCCCAGTCCCTCCCAGCTGTGGGCCACCGGTGATAACGCAGTTTGGACAGCTGTACGACGTCAGTACAGCAACGCTGTAGCAGCTGTGGGCAGTAGCGGCAAATCTCACAAGGCCGCCTACCCCTCCCTAGACAGGTCAGCTGCGGTCCCCCCAGGGGGACGGACATGCATATACACACATACATACTTACACACAACGCGCGAGGGAGGAGAGGGCGGAGTGAGAGGGCGGGAGGGAGAACCGTTAATGCCACTAAGTCCCCCTTTCCGAACCACCACCACTTGTCCGAATAATAAAGATACTCCCGCCGCCGCCGCCCCGCCATTCCACACACACATTTCCCCCCTGGACTTGTCCCTCTCCCCCCAACCCTGGAGCAGTTCACCTCCCAAACCCAATCTGACGGGGTTTCGATTGTCATGGCCTCACACCACTGCAGTACTGCTGCTTTTCGGAGCGCCAGGGGCGCGTATGTGCCGAAGCGCGGTCTAGTGCCACACTGCACAGTCAAAGCGCACGCAGCGCTGTCCCCAGCGCGGCCACACCAGCATGGCCGAAAGAACTGGCACACAGCACTAGACAACTAAACGCAGCATTAATGACTGACCGCGTCCACTGGTCACCCGCCCCGACGGCAAACCTGAAGCGTCAGCGACGCACGAACCGCACCCTGGCCAGCGGGGCTGGCCAGGCGACATTCCTAGCGCGCAGCGATACTCTAAAGGCCCTGTGGCCGTGCGGTGATCGCCGTACAGTGGTGCGTCTGGCGTTCCGAGTGGACTGCCCAATCACCACCAGGTCTCTAACTAGGCCGAGCCTGCCGCCCATGTAAACGAGGGACACTGAGGGCGGGAGGAAGAGGGAAGTGAAACGGCAACAATAAGCTCCAACAGTGTAGACAGAATGCCGGAACTATGGAGCTGTCAGCTGATGTAGCAAAATCGAAATTTGGCAAGCCGTACGGTTGCCGTACGTAACTTAGCTTAGAGGCTATACTCGCTTCGCTCCTGCCGCCTCTAAGCTACAATCTATGTCCTATAGCCTTCATGGGTTGCTGTACGGTTGCGTTCGAGGTGCCGGATAGGGTTTCAGTCTTCCCCCTTCATGGACCCGGACCCCCCTGGAGCCGCACCTTTCCGAACTTCCCCACCCCTCCCCTCCGCTTCTTCAGGTGGTATCTCTTAGAACTGTCGCCGTGCTTGCAACCGCCACAACCACCGCCGGGGAGTGGGGGACGCGAGGGAGGCGGCAGCACCCTGCACACGGGTTGCGAGGGAGTCACTCGACACATCACTCGACAGCAGCTGGAGAAGCTGGTAGGTGTGACAGAGAGAGTGTGTGTGTGTGTGCGGGGGGGGATGGGAGGGCGGGGCCCCGTTGCTGGAATCCACGGTGTGCGTGAATAGGGGGCGGGGTGGAAAGGGGAACCGGAGTCCAGTTCTTACGGAGCAGGAGAGAAGGAGAGAGGTTGCTGAGTTGAGCCCACAGCGGGGAAGGCGAGGATGAGGGGGAAAGGGGGAGGGCGGCGTCCGCGGATGCGTCCACTAGACACCTCGGCACTCCCCACCGCCGAGGGTAGGTCCTGCGGGTGATGGGGGCTCTGGGGGCTGCGGGGCTGCGGGGCAAGCTCAGGGCAGCCGCCCATGACAGCTCCTCCCTCCCTCAGACCGCCCCCCAGGAGCTACACACAAACACGCTGATTGGTATTCCCCCCGGGGGGTGGGGCCACCACCCCGGAAGACCTGGGGATGTGGGGACAGTTGCGTCATTGCTCTGGACGCAGGACAGGAGTCAGTGCTCCTGCTGCATCCCCGTCCCCATCCCCATCTCCATCTCCATCTCCACACAAATCCACATAAACCCTGAAACCCCCCTCTCAACCCCCCCTTCACACCCCTGATCCGGATCGGGGGTAATAATGGAACCCTTAGGTGGAATGGAAGCTGGCTCGGGGGCAGTGGCGACCCAGACTGCTGTCGTACGCTCGGGAGCAGGTGCGGAAAGCCGGGGAGGGGAGAGGGGTTTCGGAGTGTTGGTGGAGTCACTGGGCTACTGCTGGTGGTGGTGGTGGCTGATGGCTGGCGTGTGTCTGGACGGATAGAGAGGGGGAGGAAGAGGACAACTATGGGGCGGAGTGGCGGCAGCTCCAGGGGGGTAGGGAGGTAAGGGGGGCCCACAAAGTGGCGATGTGAACATCGCATCTTCGACTGCCGTACTACGGTGCACCGCTGCCATCCCCCCACTGCCCAGCAAGCCGGCCTTTCCTCCACCTCCGGTCCAGAGGGCCTCTCCCCCCCGGGGAGGAGGTCCTCCCGCCCCTCCCGCCCAGTGCTCATAAGGTGCCATGTGTTGAGCACACAGCCAGCCAGCCCCCAGCCCCGAACTACCCCCCGGGGGGGTTACTGCTGGGGCCAACAGAAGTTGATGATGTCCCTCGGGTGCCCTCAGGGGGAACACACATCCGTACTATGGATGTACTTATTTCCCTTCCTCGCATCCTTTCCCCCTACCCACCCCTTGCATTTCCTATTGCTTCCATGTGCAGATACTGGCATGATATATTTCTGTTATTAAGTTTTATTGCGACATAACCCCCCATGTACGCATACACAATCACCTCTCCCCTCCGCAACCCTTCCGATGCACATCCATACCCCTTGAAAAGCCCAGCTCCCCCCCTTCATCCCCTCCACCCCCTCCACCCCCTCCACCCCCTCCACCCCCTCCACCCCCCTCATCCCTTCCTTCTCGTCCCCGCAGCCGGAGGGTGCGGTGGAAGCGGCATCAGCCAAGGCACTGGCCACCATGCGGGACTACCTGCCACCACACGCTGCTGCTGATGCTGCTACAAGTGCAGCAGCCTCCGCCACCACCGCCAAACAGCACTGCGATACGGCACTACGTACGGCAGTGGAGGCACTTACAGCCCTCAAGGGTGTTGGTGAGCGACTGCATGTGGGAGGAAGGGCCCCGCAAAGTGGGGGGGAGGGGGGAGGGGTACGAGAGGGGGTGGTGGGTACCCACACAACAGGGCGGGGTTCGAAAAGTGTGGCTGCTTCCCGCCTCCAGAGGGAACCTCTACCTACAACCTGGGGAAGGGGATTTGTAATGCAGTATGAGAAAGATTAAGCCCGTCCCTGAGATCGCTTTCTTGACTGCCAGGTAAACACAAATACTTCCATTGCCTCCAGCCATCTCACCCCACACCTCCCTCGCATCCCCTCTCATCGCCCCCTCTCATCGCAGCCCCCTGCCAGCGCCATGCATATGGCATGATGCGATTTGGGGGTTTACATGGCGCAATGCAATAACCCCCAACTTGCCTGGTGTCATGCAACTCCCCAAATTGGCGCCTAGCTAGCTGCTCTCGCTTGTAGATGTCAGATTGTTTTGTTGTTGATTTTTGGAGGTTTTTGGAGTGTTTGGTGCTTCCCCCCCCCCTCCACCACCACATCTCCTCAGGTCCCGCCACTGCCTCTGCATTGCTGTCGGCTGCGTGTCCGTACGTGCCGTACATGGGGGATGAGGCCCTGGCCACCTGCTTGCCTGCCGGCCGCCAGTCGGACTACAGCATCAAGGTAAAGCACGTAAGAGTTTTAACTTTCCTTTCTTCCTGCCAGAGGCCTCTGCTAGCGAGGCGAGAAACGAAGTCCGTGAGGCTCCTTGGTCACCCATGTAAGTATGTGTCCTTCGCAAAAATGAGCAATAAGGAAAAACGCACCATTAAGGGACACCGACATTAAAGCTGCGCATAAAGTGGCCTTTGTCTTATATGTGTCCTTCCCGTCGTACCGCCGTACTGTCGTCTCTGCTGGTTTCGGTGCAAGGCCTACCTGGAGCTGACCTCCCGGCTGCAGTACAAGGCCACGGAGCTTAACCGACAGCAGCAGGATGAGGCCACCGGCGATGTGAGTCCTTTTTAAACAACATTTATTTTATCAAACAGGCGTTGTGTGCTGTTTGATTAACATACGTCGGATTGGTATCGAATGTACGGCGTGCGTTAGGGGAGCTCGCACCTGCGGGGTTGCGGTGGCGGTCTTTGCGAGGTGCACAGGTAAAGGAGGGACCGCCGCCGAGAAACGGATTTTCCTGGTCGGCAATTGATCGGACCTGATCCATCCAGAACATAGAGGCATCATACCGACAGACCTGCCTCGATGAGTAAGATAGTGCACGTGTCATAATTTTAGGCTTAAGACTTAAAATCCAGATCCTGCCACAAAGCTAAAACACGCCTCTCAAGAAAGCAGTAGGGAAAGGGTGTTCAGTCCCGGGGGAGTTCAGGGACCCCGGACAACTCACTCCTTGAGAGTGTGCGGTCGGACAATATCTATCACCGTACATTGATACCGTACACTAAGAGTTGTCGGAGGCTGTTCTTCAGGAAAAGAGAGAGAGAGAGTGGTGCCAGCAGCTTTATGCTGCTCATCATCACTCATCGGCCCGAGTGGCGATCGATACCAGAAGAGCGAAAAGGAGCCCGCAGGCCGCACCACCACACCTCCTCACCATGCACCCTCACACCAGGTGCACCCTCCGCCGCAAGGAAGTAGGCCCCTCAGGGTCGACCCGGCCCGCGCCATGGTAGCGTACTGCTGTACTGCCAACGGAACACAGCTGCACCGCCCATACAAGCCAACATACAATGGACTCCATCTCCAGGCGGTACCAAGCACACACAATGATGGCTGGCTCCATGACGTAGCTGGATAGCCACCATGGTGCTGCGGCCTGGTGGCTTGCGTCATTATTAGCTTCAAAGCAGCAAATGACGTCATAAACCGCCTTCGCTCCCCCCGTTGGCTCTCAGTATTGCACAGCCCTTAGGCGAGTTCGACTGTGGGCTCCATTTCCTGCGGCAGGTGTCCACCACCCACCAACTCGGTTCACCGGGGTGTCAACATTACCGCCCGGAATACAGCACAGCGCCTGGGGAGAAGTGGCATCTGCCGGCTGGCAAGTAGGATACCCAGTAGGGGCCCAGATAACAACTCTGGCAGCGTTTTCCGTTGAAGCTTCTTGCCCGTGCACAGCGACATGCATACACGCATGCATACATACTTTACTTTTATAGGTCAGGCAGTACTGGTAGAGCACGCACCAATGCCCCCGGGAGATCCCGGAATCGAGACCTGTTAAGGTCGAAAATTCTTCCGATGATGGAAGGTAAAGTGCCCCTAGTCATTGGACGGTGGTGACCTGGGATAAAGTTAACTTGCGAGCTGACCAGAAATGGAGTTGGGCCGCCGTCGATCCGGCAGATTCCGTTGGATGCCGGTGGTGGGTGCGGAACCTGAGCGATCCACTGAGGAGTTGAATAGAGGGTGCCCCGAAATACCGGGGAAGGCAGGGTCTGCCGGGCAGTGGCCACAGGGTGAAGATATGACCCCCCTGTTCCACACTTCATACATACGATCTTCCTGAGGGGAAAAGAGGGACCTGAGATGACCATATGTATGAACATGGTTTATTGCGGCTCGGAAGGGGTTGGGGCCTTAGCATCAAGGCAGCTGCAAGTACCTATGTCCAGACGCCCAGGCCGTGGTTCGCGATAGGGGCCGGGTGGATGGTAGCCGATTAGCGAGTCGATACCTGCGGATTGAACAAGATGCCAAAGAAACGGTCAGCAGTATTTGGGAAGGTTGCTTGGGGCGCTATTCTCTTCAGCGTGTTTCGTTGACGAGCGGAGACGCCTGCGCCACGGTGCCTCGGCTGAGCAGCAGCTGCTATTTTTACATGAAACCATGCCTGCAATATGAGGTACCAGCTGGTACCTCGGGGGTGTAGCCGGAAACCGCCCACCGGCGCTCGGCCCTACGATACGATCTGTGACTCACCTTAAGTAAATGCCTTGCATAAAAGGTGTTTTAAATTCCTAATACTTCATTATATTGTAAGAGCATATATTTTAAAGACATTTCAAGCATGGACAATTAGCTCGTACTTGGTATTGTGTCGGTGTTGCAACCTAGAGGCTTTCGACGGACAAATCAAACATAGTAGGTAAATGTGACGTAGTGTATAGAATTAACTGAGCAAGGCTCCTCCTCATATTGTAGGGACCGTATGTCCGCGGAAAAGTGTGTGCGGGGTTGGCGTTCCACCTGCCCTAATGCCAACGCAGCACGCAGCAACTACTCGGCTCCCGTTGCGGCTCTCATCCGCACATCGGCACACATCATTTGATAGGCTCGCTCTCCGGAACCCGTCCATCCGTTGCGCTTTGGAAAGCCTTAACATTCCCTGGTTCCCATCTCCCGCTACCGCACGCCCTCTGGCCGAACCGCCATAGTTTCAAAGCACCCCGGGGCCAAGGACCGGCTTTTCAACTGCTGCCGAAGATGGTAGTGATGGTGGGGATGATGATGATGATGGTTATGACGATAATGTGGCGGCGGCGTCGACGGCAGTTAGATCTGGTGATAAGGACCAGCCGCCACAACCGTCTGACGATACCATTCTCGTACAGCAATACAGCAGCGGCCGAGTTGACGGCACTGCCAGCGGCTGCGGCAGTGGCAGTGGCAGCGGCGGAGCCAATGCGAGCACCCGGATGGCGGCGAATGGCGATTGCGGCGGCGGCGGGAGGAAGCACGCGGCTCTGTGCCAGTGGACAGCGGCAGATGTTGAGAGGAGTCTGTGGGTAGCTGCCGTACTGAGCCAGCTGCCCCACCCTCAACAAACTCCGGAGGTTAAGCAGCCCGGCGATAGCGGGGATGGCGACAGGAGGGTGGCAGGAAGAGGCAAAGGGGCAGCCAGCGGCCCGTCCAAGCGAGCCCGGCGGTAGCGACTGCGAAGCAGCTGTGCATAGGCGAGGGTAGGTGGCGCACAGGCCGCACCGACAATGGGCTGCTGGTCGAATGCTGCTGGTAACTACCGTGTTCACCACGACCCGTTTTTTGTTGTTCACGATGTCACGGCACAATAGGCCTGAGGGCTCGTTTGCAGAGAGCTGTTAAGGATTAGTGGACGGCCGGTGTCCGCTCTCCGGTGGCTAGCAGCATTCCATTTGTCATTTATTGATGAGGAAGGCAACGTGGAGAGTTTGAGGGGGAAGAATTCCCGGGGGAGGGGCCTGGAGCAGATGCAGCCCGAGACCAGACGCGGCCAGTCGAGAGCCGTATCTTAACAGGAGGTGAAACTGTGACTGAAACGGGGGTTTTAAAGGTTTAGACTTTGCGACGGTTGTCGAGTTGCAACTGCCGCAAAAAATGGCGGTTTTCTCAGTTTAGGGGTAGTGGTAAGGATGCAAAGGTAAAAAATGTTGGGTTGGTCGGATGCGAGGTTACGGTTTCTTCTCAGTACCAAATTTTGCACTCTGTTGGCGCTTCGCGAGCTATGCCGAGACAGCCGCTCATAAATGTAGTAACGATAACAGTGGAGGATCCTGTTTGCCGCTCATGCAGACGGCGTGGAGAAAACAGCAAAACGGTCGGTCGGGCGGGGAATAAGACAGCAACATATCGACCGTCTCCACACAAAACACAAAATCCCATCTCTACTCCTCACACAAAGGTTCCACGCATATTCCATTCGAATATATGCCAAGAGATCCCGCACATCCATATGCCGACAAACCTACGTCCCCACAGCAGACACAAAACCACCTCCATCACAGCCCCATCCATCATACGTGCAGCATCCATTCGGGAGTTTTTTCTCCGCCACCAGAGTAAACGACACCTGTTGTGCAGGGACCTAAAAAAGCAAATGTAATGCAGGAGGGAAGAGGTTTAGAACATATACACCCCTGCGGGAAGACTTCTTGACGTGCTTCCTCCCCTTCCTTTTCCCATTCCATGCTCCGAGACCCTGCATGTCCTAGCTCGGGTCCACATGCCCCCCATCCCGCAATATTACCGGCTCATCGATCCACCTGTATTCTGAACCCAGGAGGACAACAGGAGGAAACACAGCCCCGGGGGGAGGCTGAGCAAATACCAAACATGCGTTGAGTGCACCTTCCCCCTCTCCCCACCTCCTCTTCAGGCCCTTCCCCTTCCTCGCCTCGCAAGGTTCAACGAGTCCAGTTAGGGTTGTCTTTGCTAGCTGCTCTCGGTGTCAAAGAAGACCTGTGCCTGTTCATCTGTTGTACCATTAGCTGTACAGAAGGGGAGGGGGTCGGTATGGCGTCACATAAGGCCCGTCAAACCTGTCCGTACGACAGCGAACAATAAAACACACCACCGTGTCAACGTGACACACCGGACTCCCCCGCGCGGAGGAAGAGGACGGATTTCAACTGCGCGGACACCCACACACAGATACGCCACTTATTTATTTTCAATCCACAAATCACACGTTTCAATCTAGAGTCATATTACTTTTTACCACACCTCTTATGTACCCGTGAGCTGTGTTCCTGATCTGCCCCGAACCCACGCTGCCGTCCGCCCCTGCCTCACACACTTGCAACAAGCGCACAACAATACCCGCACGTGCTGAGGGCATGAAGGCGATGCTTTCCCAGCAGGAATATTATACCAGTAATGGTAGCAGTCGTGATTACCCTGGATATAGTATAAATTACGATTAAGTACCAGAACATCTCTACGGGCGCACAAACGGTAAAGGAATATAAAGGAAAGGAATATAACAACCGCCTTCAGGGGCATCGAGGAGAGCAAAAACAGATACACGGCCAACAAACCCTGAAACGCCCACCTCGCACTGAGGGAAGGAGACGCTTCCAACGCCACTCACGCCTTAACAATGCGAAGGGCTGCTCGGCCGACGTTTTTAATAGACCATTAAACTGCAACACAACCATGCGTTAGGTACAATCTGTACGCCTGCGAAACACATAGCAAGCTTCGAGCACACGCAGAGATTTACATACCTACAAACATCATGAGGTCTTCTCTCCTTTCACACACACACACACACACATAGAAATCCAAATCCACCATCCACCAATGCACACCAAGCAAACGTATGTTGCGATATAGTTGTAATACAATATATAGGGCGTGCTGCTATCAGCATTCCTTCCCTAGCCACTGTTTACGTACACTCTTTCCATCCCAATAAAAGCAGGCATACCAGAGCACATACCAAACCAAACGTCATTCGCACAACCTCCCAAGGTGTTCACTACAACAGCAACAACAACAGCGCCACTGAGGTGTTAATCGCTCCTAGTGCAGCGCGTCGGTGCTGCAGCAGATATCAGCAATCTGCTATCGCTTGCCTTCACATCTGAAGCCATAATCCAGGCCCTCCTTTCCAAAAAACAAAAACCTTCGCCTCCTAAACACCCCTCACGGCCACCGTCTATCACATAGCCCGCGCGGTCGTCCCATAAAAACGTGCGTGCCACCATCGTGCATCCATCGTCCTGCAGCAGCCTTCCTGCCCGCCCCGCACAGCAAGCTGAAAACGTCGAGACAGGGGCGATGAGGCTGCATACACACACACACACACACACACACTCCCCCTCCCCCTCCCGTCGGGCTGGCCCCTTCTCCTCCCCTAACAACATCACCACCCCACACTAGCACACACCTCGGCACCTCCGTCCCCGACTACTAACCTCCAACAAAAAAACTGCACACATACATCACCTGGCATCTCATCGGCGAACATGTAAATGTAAAACTCTCGACGGAATATATTCATCCGTGTCTAAGGAAAGAAAAAACACATATACCAGATCGGCCGGGCAGCATCATCTTCACATATCTGCCGCCATTCCTACCAGGTAAGATAGCTGGGGCGATTGGGGGCGGAGTGCTCACAGCCACTAATTTTGTTGCTAGTATGCCTGGAGTTCGGTTACGGGTGGTTAAGGTCCCAATTGCAGGTACTGCAGGCACACTACAACACTCGCTTGCGAACCGTTGGCGACCTTTTTCTTCTTCGTGGCGGTCCGCAACTGCTCAAGGCGCAACTCCCCGGGTGTGGTTGGCATCAGAGCATGGTGACATCCTCCTGCGGCTCCTTTCATCATTAGGACAGGACGGACCCCCCTCAGTCGGACACAAGAAGCACAATATTAAAAGTTAACGCTGAGAAGAGATATCCAGATAAAAACAGACCCAGACAGACAGACAGACAGTCAAAAGCAGCCACGCACACAGGTTAAGCATGCGGACCAACCAGACAACCACGTGGACAGACAGACAGACAGACGGACACACAGGCAGATGCGGAGACAACCCACGACAGAGGCAGACAGACAGACAAGAGACCTGCAGATAAAATACCAGACTGACACTACAGACAGACAGACAGGTACCTGACACATTGACACGCCACCCGCGCAAGGACATACTCATTCTCATACACATATTCAGGGCAGTGAGGGAAGCCCCATCCTATCAAAATCTATCACATGGCATCGAGGCCAACGTCTACATCATTATTATAAGGACCCAAAATCCTTTGGGATTTGTGCAACCATCCATCACGCAGAAGCTCTGGCGCCGTGTAGCATCTACGGGCCCTGTGGCCACACATTACCTGCCTTTATTCGTTTTTACCACCACCACCACCACCATCATATGTCATCACGTGAGTCAAATCACGTGAGATCGGAAAAAACAGAGGAGAATGTCGAGAGAGGAGAAAAAGAATGAAAATGTTATATGAGGCCCCCCAGACGGATGGCGGACAGGATGACAGACAGGCGGACCGACGAACCCGCCTGTCTCTATCAAAACATCAGTTACAAGATGAGGAGGGACCGATGACAAGGAATTCCCCTAGGGAGCCATTCAGTGGCTTGCAGCACCAGATCACGCTGCCCCTACTATCGCAGTACCGATACCTACCTGTATTTTATTTCCTAAATCCGAAAGAATCTTCCTTCCTGCATCTCTCACGGCGTTTACCTCCCCACGGGGCCCCCCATCCTTCTTCAGAAGCCCCCCCTCTCGTCCGCAACCAGCCGCCATTTGCTCCGCCACCTTCCGTATCGCCATCCTCTCGCCTACCCACCGCAATAAGGCGGCCTGCTGGACAGGGAGCTTCCGCCGCTTTCCCTCCTCGTCCGTCCTCCCTCCACTGTTGTTCTGAGCTTCCGTGTTCGGATCGCGAAGCGGGTGAGCAACACGAGCCACGTGGGCAATAACACACACGAGTCTGCAACAACCACCATAACCACGGCCACGTGGCCCCCGGCCCCCCACCCGCGAGCTAGAGACCCGACCCCACCCACCTGGCCACAGCACAGCGCTCAAGGAGGCCTACCTCACGGGAATAACAAAGAAAGTGAAGAACATCCACACAGCCATTTAACCATTTACTCGTTTGTTCGTTGAATAGTCGAGGAGTCGCCCACCTCCCTGTCCTCAATTTTCTACCTTTCCCCCCTCCACTTCCGATATATAACACCGCTCAACTCAGCGGTGAGGCCCTCCACAGCGCCTAGCTACAACACTGCGCAAGCACCCCACTGCTGGTCGAGGTTTATGTGACACGCAACCACACACACGTACTCTTGCGCGTTAGAAACCAGAACCAAAAACGTACATACATACACATGCACACACGTGTGCCATTCTGATCACAGACCATCATAACCGTCACGTGGGACCGCAAGAACGAATACACATACACACCGCGTCACAATGCACGTGTACACATACATAATATACTCTTCCTTTGCTTTTCGCAGCAACCTCCACGGCCCCGAGAGCAAAGCGATGAGCTTGAGCTAATGCCCACCAAACACTGCCCATCCGCTGCCCAGCCAGGGCCACCGGTTGCACGTCCTCCTCCTGCTCCTGTTGCCCCCTCCCCTCCCCGCGGCCGTCTGGATACATCGTACACACACACACACACAACCCCCTGCTCCGGCCTCCCATACACCAGGGAATGCGAACAAGTCTCTCTCTGCAAAATGAGATGGTCGCCCTAAAACCTCCACAACTCTCCCGATACATACATACAAACATACATACGGCACACAGGCCCGCTTGCTTCTTAAAGCACTGGACGACGCCCATCCACCGTCCACACTGTTCACCCGGTACCGCCGGGATCTGTCCACTTACGACGAGTTGTATTCCGCCGCCCGTGAGCGCCCACTCCCCCCTTCCGGAGCTGCCCCCCCTCGCCCGGACCAACACTGGCAGCAGCAGGGTACGGCGAATTCAGGAGACAAGTTAGCATCCCTTATGGGCGCACTCCATTCAGACAGCTTGCGCGAATTAGGGGCCTAGCTGCACCTCCTACGGCCCATTGAGGCTACCCCAGAAGTCCGCCTGACTTTGCTTACAATGCCTGGGGTCATATGCCTGAAAGGGGGCCCGCATTTCGGGATCTCGTGTGTCGGGGGGTCTTGCCAGCCTCGCGTGATGTTGGTCTCAACCATAACCCAGACAGCGACAGAGGTGCACACACATATACAGACACACACACACAGGAACAGACGCACATACAGACAGACGCACAGAGGGACAGACGCACATACAGAGACACCCAGGAACAGGCGCACATACAGACACACGCACCCAGGAACAGGCGTACATACAGACACACAGAGCGGCTCAGCTATTAAGATCACCTCATATCGCGCTGCTGGTGGGGCCCTCGGTCCATTTCCTCCCCCCCTTCCAACCCCGAGATGCAGAATTCCAAGCAGCGCGCGACCAAGCGCAAGCGTTTCCGTCGCGTCCCAACGAGATCCACGACATAGCACCTGCCCCCTCCTCACGGCGACAGCTGCGGATGGCGCTGCGCTTCCGTGGACACTGGCCACGAAAGAACGTCGTCGCATTATGCTCTAAGTTAGACCTGGCGTTAAGCGAGTGCGCACATGCAAGTGCTTTGAGTGAGCGCGGGCGTCCGCGCGGGCATTGTCACATGCTGGGTGTCATGTCAAGTCATGTCATGGGTGTCATGTCACGGCGTGGACCATGTGTGTGTGTGTGTGTATGTGTGTGCAAGTTTCGCGTGATGATTAGGCTGCACGTCGACCCGGAACGACTCGGGCCACCGCCGCGTCGACAATGCATCTAGAAACGCCATATCTAATTGACGACCGGTCACCACAGCTGCCGCCTCAACACGCCACGCACAGCAGCTGCCACTTTCCGCTCTTCCCACAAAGCAGCAGCAGCAACAGCAGCAGCGAAGTAGTCCCCCGGATGCGCAGCATGCCTGCGGTTTTCTTACGTTCGTACGGCATCTCAAAACACGATGATCCCCCCCTTAAGACACCTTCCTGTGGACCAGTTCACTTCCCGCATCAACATGATCATCATCGTCACCATCGTTCCTCTCCTGTGTAACGGCACAACAGGACTAACGATCCCGATCACGAACAGCACTCCAATTCAACCCGGGCACACATCCCGGGGCGCCAAGGAGCTGTCAACACCGCCTGGGACCTCTTCCGTATAACCCCCGCTCTCCCCCGTTCACTAGCAGGGCATCTCAACAGACGGACACTGGCTACTGCGGGTGCTGAGGTCCCTGCGGCGCCTGCGGACTGCCAGCGTAACCAGGCCCGCCGCCGCCGCCACCACGCGCCGCTGCCACCGCCGCCACTGCCGCCGCTGCCGCTGCAACCGCTGCAGGGTGCGCACCGTACGTGCCAACCTGCGCTGCCGCCGCTGCCGCCTGATGGTCCGCCGCCACAGTTGGGTAGCCTCCCCCTCCTCTCGCTGGAACGGCTATGTAAGGCCCCTGACCACCTCCGTACTCCTGCGGCAACCCGAGCCCTAAGTGGCCCTGCACATGCTGCTGCTGCAGCCCCAGGCCACACGCCACCGGGAGCCCAACATGGGACATCCCGAGCCCCATGGGTACCGGCACCTGCACCTGCATCGGCACGCCCATGCCCGCCAGCCCGCCATGGCCCCCACCGCCGACGCCGCCATGTCCACCGTGGTGGTGCGCCCCCGGGAGCCCTTGTGCCAGATGACCCTGGTGCGGCCCCAAACCCATCGCCATGGCATGTCCCCCACCGCCGCCACCACACCCGGGAATGCCCCCCGGGCCGCCGTACCCGGCCGTGTCCAACAAGTATGGACCCCCCAGCGCAGGAATGCCTGTTGCTGCCGACGCGGAGGAACCCGAGGTGGCGGCGGCACCGCCGCCGCTGCCATCGCCAGTACTGCTTCCGGTGTGGTGGTGCGGGTGATGTACATGGCCGTGGCCGTGACCATGCGGATGTGGGTGCATACCCATGGGGAGGTTCATGGCCATCGCGCCCCCGGCGACGCCGCCACCGCCATAGCCGCTACCGCCCAGACCTAGGTTTAGCGCCATGTTGCCAGCCATGTGGGCGTTGTCCCCACCAGAGATATCCGCGTCCATGTAGTCGTCTTCGTTGAACTCCAACGGCAGCGAGGTGGCCTTGGGTCCAGCCGCGTCACCCAATGTGCGGGCAGCACGTATGAGGGCGCGGATCTCGTCCAGCGACTGGTGCGGCTCTGGATTGTAAGTGTAGGTGTTCGGGTTCTACGGAACACAAGAGGGACGGCGTGTGGCGTAGCGTGTGGCGGGTGAGAGGAAATCATGGTGAAAGGGAGTACGTTCTTCCCAGCGGCATTCGCTAGCCGGCAGGTGGGCAGGTGAGGTAGCAGCAATAAAGGCAGCATGCTTGGGCAGCAGCAGCCCCAACCCAAATGCGGTGTGATGGAGCTTTGCTGTGCTGCCCTTGATGTCTAATAATGATGGCTTCTGATGATGGCTTCTGATGATAATGATGATGGATGATTTTGATGATGATGATGGCAACTGGCAGAGAGGTCCTCACCGAACGACCTCATCCGACAAAATGATATCCGATCCTGTACCATTTACCCGAACCGATTTCGACTTCATGAAACCTTTCCCCCTTCTACTCCTACTCCCTCCTCCTTCCTCTTGGAGGTCTAGGAGGATCCTCCAAGAGACGTAAAACTCTTAAACCAGCTTAAATCAAAACCAATTCCACCCGACATACCCGGGTGCCCGAATCTTCAAAACCTCCACCCAGCAGCACCCCCGCCACAACCCCCTTACAGCCCACCCCCGCCTTGCCAAGCACCCGCCGGCCCAACTCCGGCCCAACCCGCCGGCAGTTGACCGTTTTCTCCATGATTTCCCACAACCACCACAACCGCCTCTGCCCAGTCCCACACACCGCCAGCTCCGCCGGCAGGTTCTTGAGGAACCAGGGGTGGCGCCGGATCTCCTCAATCGTAATGCGCTGAGCAGGGTTCGCAACAAAGATGCGCGAGATGAGGTCCTGGCACTCAGCCGAGATCTGCAGGTTCGCTGGAAAGCTGAACCGCACGTTCATGATGCGCTGCAGGACACGGTACGACAGGGGAAGGTGCACACGGGGAGTGGGGGACGGGTTGGGCAAGATATAAACGGCGCGAGGCGACGACTAATGGGTGTTGTGGGGTACGTGAGGTGGGGCAGTGTGGTGAGCCCGGCGGTTCGTCGAAACGGACCCGTTGGAGAGAGTGTGGCGGTCCAGGATGGGTTCCCGCAGCCGATAGTCTCCAGGAGGGCCCTTCTGCTGCACCCCCACCCCCACCACCTTGAAACGGAGGCGAGAGTTAAAAGGGAGTCCTTGATACAGGAAAGGTACGGGACCGGGTACGAGACCAGTACAAAAACCAATTCTACATCAAAACCAAGATAAAATTTATTATATGTGTGATGACCTTGCGGGTTATGTATGTTGCGGGTTATGTATGTTGTGTCTTTTGTTCTTCCAAAAACGGCTCCGATAACTTCCATGCGTTCCTTTGTTCTTAATAAAGCAGGGCCCATGGGCCATGGCAAAGCGCGGCAGTGGGATGGGTGAGTGGGTGGGTGGGGATGGCGGCATTTAGGGCTGGTGGAAACAATCGCGGACGGCCTATACGGCGGCACATGAGCAGCATGTACCTGAATTGTTTTTCGGAAATTACGGGGGTCGGCCGGGTCTTCGAATGGGTACGCGCCGACGAGCATGACGTACAACGTAACTCCGCAGGACCACACGTCAGCAGGCTGGCCATTGTACTCCTTCCGCTGCAATACCTCGGGTGCAATGTACGCGGGCGTGCCGACAGTGGACTTGGGCTGCGAGTCAAAGGCCGACTACGGGATGGGGGGAAGAGAGTGGTGGAGAGGACGGGGATATCTGGTTAGAGCGGCACATAGGGGTGTTGCAGGCAGAGAGATTGGCTTGGCTATGTCGGGAGAGGTTGATGCATGTATGCGCAGGTCGAAACCCAGAAACGGACGCGCACCTTTGAATAACCAAAGTCACAGATCTTGAGCCGTGGCGCAGCGTTCCCATCAAGCAAAGTGTTTTCAAGCTTGAGGTCGCGGTGGCAAACTCCCTGTCATGTGCAACAACCGACTGGTTTGTGTCGGCATTCATGTGCAACATACCGCTAAGGATGGCTTGAAGTACGCACCGACGCATGGCAATACTCGACACCAGATATTAGCTGCTGGAAAAAATAACGCGCTTCATCCTCGCTAAATCGGCCAGCCTTCACAATGCGCTCGAATAGCTCCCCGCCGGCGGCGTACTCCATCACAATCCCCAAGTGTGAAGGTGTTAAGAACACCTGGTAAGGAAGCCAGTATTTTACGTCAGGAACGTATCAGGGGTGCACGCATTGGGAATTATGACTGACCTCCTTGAAGCCCACAATATTCGGGTGGTTTAGCATTCTGTGATTGCATATCTCTCGTTCGACATTCCGGTCAACCTGCGCTTGCAACATGAGATAGTATGCAAGCTTGACTCTACCTCTCACAAAGTGGCAACGTGGTCAACCAACCCTTTCGCCGCGCTCGATAAATTTGATTGCAACCTGCGTCACAAAGGTCATTTGGGCATATTTAACCGGCTGAAACTTGCACTTGGCGGACCACACTTTTTAATGTGCGCGAGCCCCCGCCAAACCGCATTTTGCTTACCAGCTCCTCACTGATAAGATCCCGCATAAGCTGCAAGTGCAAACAAAACAGCCCGTTTTATGACACGCGAGGAAAGCAGATTGAGTTGCGTCACATTGAGGTGCTATTGAGCTGCAAAGCTTGATCGTGACGCATGACGAACAGCCATACCTTCGCCACCCCAAAGTTGCCAGAGCCCAAGTCACGGACGGGCTCATATCGGTCCATGATAGGTCCTGGCAAGGCCACGAACTAAAGCCTCCAAAGGCTATTGGCCCCCAAAAACCTCAAAACATTTATATTCTATAAGACTGAATCCTGTAGTCGTCACCCTCACCCAGGAAACGTAGTTCGCGTGTATGAAAAGGGACGTTGCGAAGATTTGCGTAAGGTCCCCGAACCTGTAATCTAATAATATGGCCACACTCCAAAACCCATAGCAATTAGAGAATTAAAAATTCAGGTAATCCACTGGTTGCCGTCTTCAGGACGAGGTTGTCGATGCCGTACGGGAAATGAAGCCTCAGTCCAGTGCACACAACGACGGGAGGCCCGTAATTGCCTGGTAAATTTCTATGCATTACTGTCCCTACACAAGAATGAAAGGGTCGATTGGAGCTGGTGATAACAGTTTACCCTCTTCTCCAAGCAAGTCCACCCTTGGTCTGATGGCATCATCCAAACGTGCGATTATTTTACCTTAAATCGTGGCGACGACTCAGCTTACGTACGCATGCGGGCTTGCTCAACCTAAAATATGCCGCATCCGTACGTTACGGACTGTCTAACAGCCAGCACAATACACAGAAAAGCGAATTACGACCTATTGTGCAGCAACCGTAACCAACTTTTACACCTGTAGGGTCTGGAAGACCTCACCTAAGCAGGCCCATAAGAGTTGACAAGTAGCTTGCAGGCGCATCTCGCAAAATTGTTCAGGCAAACTTGCACGCCTAAATATCTTTGTCCTCCTTCACATAATCTTTTACAGAACTTTGGCACAAGGAACGATTCTGTTTGAAATTCAGGCTTCCCTGCTTCCCTGCCCGCGCTCGCGCCTCCACTCATCTAAAACACATAATTTTCAGGACTACGACTCAATCAATCTCACAGCAGATAATGCCCGCCATTATGGTCCTGGAACTGTAGACGACTCCACGACCTCCATGTACCGCCCTACAGGTAGCAAGGCAGGTTGTAGATGCCCCGCTCCCCGACTCGCACGCTGATCACGCACAGCGCGCTCTCCAAGCTGGTGTGTCCTCCACCTCCGCTGCTGTACCCCAGCGGCGCCAAACGGGCAGCTGACAGGGAACCGGGTTGGGCCGGAAGCGACTTGAAGGTTGTCGAAACCCATTTTGCTTCCCCCGACGCTGCAGCTCCTCTACAAAACACAAGTGTGGCAGCCGCGAGTATGAAAAGAGAAATAGGAATTTACTGCAATGAAGGAGTCTTGGAACCCGGGGTTCCAAATTAGGACAGGGCCGCCAGAGAGCTTCAGGGCAGATTACCGCACAGCACAACAGGGCCGCCATGAGCAGCCAGGAGAACGAGAAGCGCGTGGTCCCAGATTTCCACTCGCGATGAATATGGTGAGGAAAAGGAGGGAGCTGATACTGTGGGACACGGGAATGCACAGTCGGGGGACCACTGCTCCAAAAGAAGGAGCGGAAGGCGAGTGCAAATGGCCTTTCCCTCCATCATGTGGATGGACCGCCGAATCGTAGTTGCAATTACGAAGAAACAGGCAAAGGCAAACAGACAAAAGAAACAGAGTCAAATTTCATTTTTCTAAAATCATGCATGGTGCACTTTGTGGTCTTCAATGGACCCTTCCCCCCCAACACAACATGCACACTGTATGACCCCCGCACCGCGTCCTTCACGGACTGATCCCCATGTAGCTGCCCAACCCCGACTTGTCCCTCCGACTGACACATCCCAACACGCCGGTGTCCTCCTCCCTCCGTCCCATGCTTCCCACCATCCACACGCAATTTACCATTTAACACACACGCACGCACACGCACCCGTCCCTCGGCTGTGACGGCCCAGCTTCAAATCCCCCTGCCGCGGCTGTCGGACCCGCTTGCTGCTGCTTCTGCTGCTGCCCGCTGTTAAAGCCTGCTGCCACAGGGCAGGAACCGGGGCCAGCTGCCCCAGCAGCATCGCAGAGACATTGCGAAGGTCGGGCCAATCCGATAAGCCGCGCCGAAACCAGCGGGTCTGTGATGGTGCTGTACAGGGCAATGCAGGTGGGCACCTGGAAAAGAAACGGGATCGAGAGAGGCGACGAAAAAAGAAGGAATGAAGGAAGGATGGGAGAAGTAGGGCTAAGGAAGGAAAAATGAAGGCCTGGAGCAGGAACTGACGATCCGATCGCTTTCCAACGCAGGGACGTCTGAATTACGTCTGAAATCCAGACTGAAACATATATACACGCCGTTCTGTTAGTACGTTTGCAGGATATTTTTGCGAAAGCAAAGCGAGGCATGGATTTTCAGTTGCCGTTTTTGGAAATTCGCGAGCCGTGGAATGCGCGTATTTGTACGTCATTGTGCGATATGATAGCACCAAAATTGCAATCGGCTAAGCCAAGTACATTATGGGGCATGGCATACATCGTTCCTAGGGCTCAGGATTAAAATCATGTCAACAGTGTTTTTAGAACTGGAGTATAAACAACACAGACCGACAAATATGTCGTCTCTTCCTGTAGCTGCTTCATGCCGATCTACTTATAAAAGCCAACCCAGAATATTTTTGCCGGACATACGACTTTGGAATATCTTTTCCCTATTGCTTTTTGCAAACATGTTTCAAATGGCCGACCATTAATCATCCCATGTCGGTTGCCGTAGGTGCTGCAACAGTCGAAAAACAGAAATTAGCGAAACGTTTTCAATCCATCGCTACTGAGGCGAACTCAACCGGTTTTCATCCAACCTACAGGAGTTTCTGCAAACAGTCATACAAATCCGTTCCGAAGAAAAGAACTTTTGCGCAAACATGCTTCAGAGCAGCTATCCGCTTTTTCTTCAGCCAAAAGGCTAATGTTCTTCGCGCACAAAATAAGGCAACGCTCACAACCCAAATCGAAAACGAGGGAGATCGGAAACCGGCCAAGTTCAGCTACTACAGCCCGCAACACAACAAACGTTTCCCTTTTACAAACCAACCCCAATTCCGTCTCCCACAACCTGCTTTCCGTACACATCTCCTGCACGCACTACTCACCTGCCCTGGAGATACCGAAAACAGCACGGCCAGCCTCTCGCCGCGGGGATCCCAAGTCAGGTCAGCCACAGCCGCCGACGAAGATGTTCCAGACGACGAACTGAAACCCGCGCCCGCATCCCTTCCACCCACGGACGCAGCGGCTGCTGCTGATCCACCCCGGTGCAACTCCGGCAGTACGACAGGCAACAACTGAGCCGTCAGACCCGGCGGCGAATCGACCAAATGTACGGCAACCAAGTACGACATGCCGGACAGAGCCGCCAGCAAGATGGGGTTACGACCGGGTGCCGACGGAGCCCATGCCGCCGCCACGACGGAGGTCGCGCCGCCAAACGAGTACGACGGTGCCGCGGCCGCCGCCACACCGCCTGGAGCAACTGCTGTTGAGGCGGCGGTAGCGGAGGACGCGGACGATGTATCCGATGATGATGATGACGCGATCTGCCACCGAGCCCAGCGCCACTTGTGCGTCTCGAAAATGTAGAAGTACCGGCTTCCGGTGCCCGCTGCGGAAGGGCCAAAGAGAACGGAAGAAGCGGCGACGTAAAACCCAGCACAGCAAATCTACACGGCACGGCACGGCACGACACCCCCGAGAGGGAACCAAGAGGAGGAGAAGCGAGACGAGAGGCGAGGATGGCGCATCATCAGCAGCAGCACGCGACAGCTGCCTCCCCGCCCCCTGACCACATCACGAATCGGTGTTTCAACATAGAAGCGACTTTGCTGCGCGGGGCGGGGGGTGTATTTGCATGCAATAGGCAGGGGGGCTAGGGCCTGAGGAGTTACCCACCCACCTAGCTTCCCATTCACCTATCTCCCCTCTCCCGCGACCCTAAAACCCTAGGTACCCCAAGGCCCTGAACACTCCCACCCCCCTCCCTCCTCCCCCACATACATACATACCTGCAAACACGTAGTCACCGCACGGGGACCACCTCACGGTGTCGAACGCCGCCAAACCCGCCCCCACCGAAGTGGATATGCCCGTAGAGATGTCCCAAACCTTATGTGTTAGGGGTGGGGGTGGGGTAGGGGGGGAAAGACGAAACACACACGATTGAAGCTGCTGCCAGGGCAAGAGAGTATCAAACGTAGAACTGACCGAAAGGCGTCCGTGGCGACCGTGACCTCGGGATGGGGTAGGGGGGGGGGGTTGCGCAATCGTTTTTGTGTGTATGTCTATACATGGGTATGTGTGTATGTATGTGCATATTAATGATCTTCGGAGCCGCGGGGTGAGGGAAATGGCGATGATGGCGATGACTGCACACGAAAAACACGACTTCCTTTATACCGTCCATGCGAACGCTCCGAGAATTGTCACACTAGCGATGTGTGGTAGCTTTTGAAGCCCATGTAACTGCACTGATCTAGCTGCTTGTCCGGATTGAGAAGATGTTGTTGGTGTGTTGCCAAGGTGTGTTGCCAAGAGCCCCTAGGATGCGCGGAAGGGCGCAGTAGTGAAGAGAAGGGCGACTAGGCGGTGGGCGACTAGGCCGACTGGCTACAGCCCCACCAGCTTCTCTCCCCCCGTTGTATCTCTCCTCCAGCACCGCCGGATCCACACACATACCCACTCTCACACACACGCACGCATATACACACAAAAATACGTCGGCCTCTAGAGCCCCAAACAGGTAGCGCGTAAAAAAACATTTTCATAATATGTCCGAAGCTACCGGATCGAACAGGGGATTCCATGCTACCACAGCCCGAGCGATGTGACGATAAGCACAGGGTAGGGGACCCCCCTCCGAGGGGGGGCACAACGACCTCCTCCCCCCCGGGGCCACAACAATAAACCTTTTCCGTGAATGCGGAAGGTTGACTGATTGACCGAATGTGAACAAGGGAAAAGACAAAGAATGCCAGCGGAGCAGCGGTGGCAGGTGTTGCCCCTCCTCATGACTATCCCCCTGCCCGCATCTGCCCTCCTTTCCCCCCACCCCCAACCCCCCCACCCCACCTGCAGACCGGCCTGGCTGGGGGAGGCGGCTGCCAGCATACGCCCGTCCGAACTCCAACTCAAGGAAGTAACCCTGTATGACATACATACATGCATTAGGTTAGGCACTACTGGTAACGCGTGACCATTGCCCCCGGGAGATCCCGGGATCGAGACCTGTCAGGGTCGAAAATGGGGGAATCCGATGGGGGAAGGTATTGCGCCTCTAGTCGATGGATGGTGGTGACCTGGGATAAAGTTAAGCTGCGAGCCGACCAGGAATGGAGTTGGGCCGCTGTCGACCCGGCAGATTCCGTTGGATGCTGGTGGTGGGTGCGGAACCTGAGCGATCCACTGAGAAGTTGACTAGGGTGACTGGATGAGGGTGCCCCGAAATACCGGGGAAGGCAGGGTTTCGCGGGGTAGCTGCCACGGGTGAAGATATACCCCCCTGTTTCACACATCATACATATACATGCTGATGGACATCTACATGAAAAGCGCGTGTTTGTAAGCGGGTTCAGCCAAGAGAAAGCAATGCGGGTGCCCTCCGGCGACGGTGCATACATACATACATACATACTTTCCACTCCCGCACATGTCATCCTGCATCAACTACAACAACCACACTGGCCACCCTCCCCAAACACACCCCGGGCCCCCCACCCACCTCGCCCCCGGCACCCGAGTCCTCAGCAGCCTCAGCCAGGGACCTGGGGACCTGCCCGCCGCCGCCAGGGGGGGTCGTACTTCCCCGGCTACAGCCCACAAACCCACCACCCCCACGGAGCCCACCGCCAGCAGCCCGGGGGAAGTGGGGCTCCAGGAGAGGCTGAGGGCCTGGGGGAAGCGGAAAAAGGGGGGGGAAAGACGAACCACGCGCGAGTGAAGCTGCTGCCAAGGAGCAGAACTGATCAGTTGGCGGTTTTAAGAAGGCGGCGACCTGGGGATGATGTGATGAAGATGACCGCGGAAACCTACCTGCCTACCTACCTAGCCGCCGAGACTAAAGTAAGAGCGGAAGAAAAGGAACGGAAGAGGGGACGGGACGGTTAACAACACACAGCGCTCACCGCCCACACTGCAGTTCAGTCATGTCTGTCTGTGTGTATGTGGACCCAAAGCCACCATATCGTATCAAGTATCAAAACACACAAACATGACCCAACACATTTTCTCTCTCCACCCAGCGCCGCCCCTCCACCCCCGCCCTAGGACCCACCTCCTGCTGCAGCACCTCGTGCGTCAGTACGGCCATCAAACTCCCCGCCACCTCCCCCGCCGCCAGCAACTCGGGGCGCTTTACGGGCCCCGGGCCCCCTGGAGGGGCCGTGTTGGGTTTCATGGCGGCGGCGGCGGCGGCGGAAGAGGAGGAGGAGCCGCAGGAGGGCCCTATGTCAATCACTTGAACCCTCCCTCGTGCGTCAGCTGCCGCTATCCAGGGCTGCCGGGGGTGCCACTCCAGGGGGGGAGAGCAGGGGCGGAGGTGGCAGCCGGACAAGAACCTGCCGTGTGTGTGTGTGTTGCGGGAGTGTTTGAGGGGACGCCCGAATGCAGTTGTACGAAGTTAAGTATCAACAGGGGGTGGGAACTGTGTGATGGGAGATGATGGGAGATGGGGGGACAGAGAGGGGAAAACACACACACATGTGCAACACACACACACACACACTCTCTCTATGGTCACGTCCAAAGCAGCGAAATACGAGTGAAGACGGGTTTGGTTTCGGAGATGCGCTGTTGGAATGGGATTCGAAGGTGACCGCTGACCTTGGGGCCTTGGGTGGACAGCATTATTGGACAGCCGGGGGGACCGGGAAGGGGTTTGCAAGGGGCGGGGAAACATAGAAATCTATAGGGTCTAATGTAAGGGGTTGGCAAGGGAAACATAGAAGTACAGCGCTGCAAGGCGCCACAATCTATATAAGGAAACAAGGAATTAACTGCCGCCGTACGGAGTTTGTAAGGGACTGGGGAGTTGGGGATTACCCACCCATCCAGACGTTGGGACGAACAAACAGTATGATGGATAGACCGTTAAGACAAACGAACGAGCCGCCGTACAAACGAAGGCCCCCCTACCCCCCAACCCCCGCCGACCTGCTCCAAACCCAGGTCAACGGCATCGCCAGCACCCCCAGAGGATGTACGGCAGATTGCAGCTGGCTCAGCACCCTGTCCAATACCTGGGAGGAGGAGGAGGAGGTCCTGATGCAAGGGGAAGGGGCGTGTGTGTTTGTGTTGTGTTGTGTGCGTGTGTGGGGAGGGTTGGGCTGGGGAGGGAGGAGGGAGGGGTATGAGGAAGGGAGCAGGGAGGGATAAAAATGATGAATGCCAATTAGCTGTGTAAAGGGAGGTTGTTTAGGGTGTTTGTCAGTATGAATGTCCTCCCGGCATCTGGGGGGGGGGAGAGGTAGGGGCGGAGAGGGTGCTAGAGAGGGACTGATATCCGACGAGGAGCCGGGCCTCTACCCACACGAAACGAGGTAAAACCACATTTTACTACCCCCCCACACACACATACATAAATACATATATACACAAACGTGCAGGCGCTTGCTCATTGCGTTATACAAAGCAAGCCGGCGGCGGCTTCTACCCAAAGACCGTACCCATGCTATTGCCGTTACGAGTCATGCTACTGCCGTTACGAGTTGTGCTACTGCCATTCTTAGTCCCGCCGACTCACTTGCCATTGCCCTCCTCAGCGGCCACATCTCCCACTGCGTCTGACACCACATAGCGCCGTACGGGCGAGTGGGGGGAGGGGAAGAGGGAAGTAATTACACGCAAATGTCAGTTGGAACAGCTGCCAGCGGGCAAATGCGCGGGAAAGGTGGGGAGCATGTTTCTGTCCATCTGTCTGTCTGTGTCTCTAGGTGTGTGCGAGGGCGAATGAAGCGGATGGGTGTCGCGAATCGGTGGGAGATGGGCCGAGTCAATCTGTTCATCTGTCTGTCTGTCTAAGTTACGGCGCCCCGCTCTCCGACTGCCACGTCACGTTAGAACGCAGCCCTTGTCGTACCCCAAGAGGCAGGCGCGGTGTTGACCCGGATGGCTGGATGCACTCTCTTACACACACACACACACACACACACGGGAGCTTCCGTGTATCCTCCTTTCCCTTTTGCCCCCTCCAACACCTCTCCATTTACCACAATGGGCATTTCCATCCCGTCCGCTCGCCCAAACCCTTCACCACCACCACCCCGCCGCCTGGGACCCTGCGGACAAAACCCTTCATGTGTTCACACGCCTATCCTGTTCCCTGGTAGAGGATAAAGAGCGCTGCCAGCCCGACTGACGGCAGGGAGGCTCAGCATATTTGATGTTGGGGGTCGCTGGTTGGGGTGCCCGGTGGGGACCCCACATCCCGCGTTGAATGTTAGCCCTGAGGTAGCGATGACTCACCCGGCGGGTACACAGAAGCCCGCTGCGGCAGCTGCTCCGAAGGGAGCTCATCCGCTAAAAGCACGCTCGGAAGTACCTTGGTCTGCGTTAGGGAAGCGACCCCAAGGCACGCCGTTTATACAGCGCGCGGGCTTGAGCGGGGTCAAGGGTTGCATAGACTGAAGACCCATTAATTTATGCGATCTTCTTACCAATCCGGAGACGTCTTTAGCATTGTCCACATGAACTGTGACAAGGGCAAGGCCGAAATTGGGGAGCAGGCCGTCATTCAAGAATTCGAGTGGCTGAACTCAAAGCTGTGCCTGCAGCTATTGTACCCTGCTCTTGCTCACAGACCTAATGTGTAGTGATCCTCGTAAAGGGTTTTTGTCCCTTCGGGAGGCAGCAGCGTGGAACGCATTGCTCTTCACGAAAGCCGTTATTAAACAGAAAAATAATGGATTGGTTATTAGATCTAGCTATGAGAATTCTGACTTCAAGGCAGATAATTACACCTTTGGTCCATTAGGCGGGAAAAATGCGGCCGATATGCGAGATCGAATTATTATGTAGAATTCAATACATATTCTTTGCTCAAAGCTAGTGGCGAAGTAGTATCCCTGTACAGCTGACGGTAAGGGCGTCATACTGCGATATAGCCGTGCACGCTTTGTCATGCAAACTGTCCCGTCGATACCAGGACCACGGTTCCGTCCTGAATATTGCACCTTTGCGCTTGCGTTATCACCTGCTGTGTATTATAGATGTTTACTTAAAAACCACTTTTAGCCGTGCTTAAATTATGGAGGTTGCTCCGTTATTCAAGCCCTTTAGGGCATTAGGCTACATTACCGATAACGTTCCATTCGCAGTTAACAGAAAAGGAAAGGAAACATATGTCACTGTCAGTGTTGGGAAGGCGTGGCAGGTGGGCGGCGGCCGGCGGCCCTGGCAGCCGTCACGGTGAAGCCAATCCTGATTAAATTATGTCGGCCGCAGATTTACAATTGCACCAAGTTGACACTATCGCTTGTGGGTCCTCAGGCAAGTCCGGAACGAACATGCTATAGCTCAAAAATCGTCGTCTTGCACGTCTGCTAAGTTGCTAATATGGCATGCTTCTCGCGCCTACCTTTTATATGTAGCTTTTTGGTGACATCAGGGCGCTAGCTTGCGCCGGTGACCTCACTTTTGCAGCAGTCGGCAGCGACATTGTGGAATGCAAGCGTGTACACAGGTTAGCCTGCCGAGGTCTGTCAGGCGACCCTTCTGCAGCACAGAAAACCCCGTCATGTATTAAAGGATGAGGGGGAGGTGGGGAAATGAATTAACGTATTGAAACACAGGAACGTTCAGGATGTGTGGAGTCCGAAATTTAGGGGAGTTGTTCAGGAGGGGCAAGGGTTTCTCGCTGGGGAACAGTTGGCGATAGGACTTTCCAGAACCTTCGGCTGGATAGATGGGTTGGAAAAGGGGTTGCTGGAAAAGGAGGAAGGGGAAAGAGTAGCGAAAAAGAGGAGTAATGTCCAAGGGGACAAAGGTGGTGGGCAGGTGGGGGTCGGGGGGGCCCTAACCATCATGTTGGTGATTAAACCGTCGTCAGCTATCAACTGTCAGCACGCCACTGCCCCTTGCCCCCTTCCATTTTGCCATGTGTTGCGGGCCCCCGGCCCCCCTTTCGGTCCGTTCTTTCGGTTGCTACTATCTTGCCCTGGCAGCAGCTTCAATCGCGTGTGGTTCGTCTTTCCCCCCGGCCCCCTGCCGTACCAAGGTGCCAAGGTTCTCCATCTACCATCGCCACCGCCACGCCTCACGCCATTCATTTCCTCTCCCCCCACATATCCCCCTCCCCTCCCCTCTTCGGATCCCTTCTTAACCGGCCATCCTTAGATCGGGTGTGTACGGCGGCGGTGTACACTCGTTTTCTGTACGGCAGCTACTGGTATTGGGCCCCCTGCTGCTCAGCCTGGAAGCAGCAGCAGGCGGAGGAGGCGGGGAAGGAGGCCGGCTGGTCATATGGGAAATTGGAAAGTACGACGAGCCGCAGGTAGGTCGGCGCGGGTGGGTAGGCGCGTGATGGGAGAGTGGGTGTGCGGGGGGAAGGAAGGGGGACGTGAAAGGGCCTTTCTGGCCCCCGGCTCCCCCTCCCACACACACATACACGCGTCGATCGGCCTTGCTCCTCCCTTGTCTCCCCCTCCCCCGCTCCTACGGCCACTCGCATTCCACCCGGTACGGCACACCCCGTAGGGCCCATTCCTCAGTGCCACCCTCTTCCTTTTTTAATGACCCCGGCCGTTCCTGCCCCTCCTCTCCCCCCACCCACTACCCTGCAGCGCGTCATTTCCTTTCCCCCCGGGCCCCCCCCCAGCGCTATGTGCCACCCGGACACCTACCTGAACAAGGTGTTGGTGGGGTTTGAGGGCGGCGGGGAGATGCAGCTGTGGAACCTTCGGAGCGGGGTGCTGCTCTACACATTCAAGGGGTGGTGAGTGGGGGGGAGGGGGGATAAGGGCCGGGGGTTTTAGTGGGTTTGTGTCGTGAGGTAGCGAACAGCTCATGTGCGTTCTGGGGGTACGGAGGGGGGTACGGAGGGGGGTACGGAGGGGGGAGGGAGGGGGGTACGGAGGGGGGAGGGAGGGGGGTACGGAGGGGGAGATGGCGAATAGGGGAATGTAGGTAGGGAGGTAAGGGGCCAGGAGGACATTATGAAGAAAAGGTGTGGACGGAGCCGAGTTGGCAGTACGGCAGTACGGAAGGCCAAGTGTTAGAATGGGGGAGGGTCGCAGCAACAGGGAAGGGAGGAGGATCGAATATGGCGGCGGTGGTGGTGGGGAGGACTGTTTGGGTTTTGAGGGGTGGGTGACGCGAGGGGCGAGGAACAGGCAGACGAGGAGAAAGCGGCAGGGTGGGGAGGGAGGACTATTAGCTGATGCAAAGAGCAAGGGGTCGACTGCTTTATGGATGGAGTTCAGGTCCTCCATTTAGTTATTGTGCATCTGGACGTACGTGCGTTTTCAGCATATGTGTGTTTTCCCCTTTCCCCCTTTGGGAGTTGACATCAGCAGTTGACCGTTTGTTTGTTCCCGGGACATGTATCCCCCCACACACCCCACACCCGCACACATTCTCCTCTCCTGCTTGTGATATCCCCCTTCCGTCGTAGACACAAACATGCGTGTATGTCGTATTGACGTACATGTCGTACACAATGCAGGGGTGTGCCCATTCGCGCGTTGGTCTCCAGTCCCGCCCTGGACGTGGTCGGGGTAGGGTTAGCGGACGGTCGTGCCGTACTGCACAATGTACGACTCGACGAGGAGGTGGCGTCGTTCGCCAACGCTGCGGGAACCGGGCTGGCGGCGGAACAGCTGCTGGGAGGGGGCGCAGGTACGGCAGTGGCCCGAGGTGGCGTTGGCGGCGGTGCTTGTACGACATTGTCGTTCCGCAGCGGCGCGGGTTTGCCGCTGATGGCGGCTGGCGGCGGCGGCGGCGTCATTACGGTTTGGAATTTGGAGGAGAGGCGGCTGCATACCGTAATTCGTGACGCGCACGACGGCCAGTTGGTGAGTTATGCCGTACGAAAGTGTGTACGGAGGTGTACGTTGATTCCGGCATTGTTTCTATGTTTGTGCGTATCTCTGCGTGTTGTGTATTGCTGTGTGGGTTTTGGAGCACGGGGAGGGAGTGCTCGCGGGGGCGAAGGCCCCTCCGGAGGGGATCAACCCCCCTTTGCCATTATATCAGTGAATAGCACACACAATTACACACAAAGGGGAACTAAAGAAGAACCCCTAAAGCTCATCCCCTAAAGGGGAACTAAAGGGGATGAAGAAGCCAAAGGGTTGTCTTCCCCTAAAGGGGGAATCCCTTTGGGGTAACCAAAGGGGACAACTCTTTGGTTCCCCTTTGGGGGGGTGTCTTCCCCTAAAGGGGAACATCGTCCCCTTTAGTTCATCCCCTCTTGAAGAAGAAGAACACTAAAGGGGAACCAAAGGGAATGACAAGGAAGACGCCGTGTAGCTGTTTGTAGCTTAATATGCGTCCATGCGAAACAAGTAACTCAGGGCTAGCTTCTAACGTAGTTAAGCTTGGCGAATCGCAATTACACACAACCACACACACGCATGTGATTGCGGGCAAAAGGTTACAGCAGCCGATGTCCGTGACCTGGTACACCCGTACACTCAGTCCCTTGTGGATTTTCATAGGACCGACGTGGCGCGAGATGCAGTACGGCATTCTTAAGATGTCCTTGTATTTATGCATGCACGTACGTAAGTATATATATATATATATACGTAAGTATATATATATATATGTACGTGTGTCCCGGAGCTCTCCACCACCAACCCCTCTCAACTCCCCCTTGCCTGTCTACCAATCGGGGCCGTTTGTGTCTTGACCGCGTTTTGTTCCCAGTTTTTTACAACTACCAACCGTCGAACCCCCAACTACCAACTACCTTCCGTAGTTGTCTCTCCACTTCTTCCCGGGAGAGCCCCTCTTGATGAGCTCAGCGGCGGATAACTCGGTCAAACATTGGGTGTTTGACTCGGCAGATGCAATGCCACGGCTGCTGAGGTTTCGGGCTGGGCACGGAGCGCCACCCACGATTGTACGGCACTACGGCGAGGTGAGGCGGGGAGGAGGGGGGAGCTGGGGTAGAGGGGGAAGGGATGGTACGGGCATTTAGTGTGAATGTGATGCTTTACTTTTGGGGGAGGGGTTTTGTTAGGTGTGGGTGTGTGGGGCGGGAAGGATGGTTGCGTGGTGTCAGTTTCCAGTGTCGTCGTACACTCGCCCTGTCCTGTTCTGTATGGGATTTTATTTGAATCATCCGGATTTGGACCTCTTCAGTTTTTTCAAATTACAAATTCCTTACAAATTTTCTCCCCCCCGTTCTTCCCCTCTTCCAATCACTGCGCGACCCCTAAATAAACCCTAACCCTATTCCACCTCAGGGCGGCCTGAGGCTGTTGTCCGCGGGGTGCGACCGGTCCTTCCGGGTATTTTCCGTACATCAGGATCAGCAAAGTCGTGAGCTAAGTCAGGGCCACGTGGCGCGGCGGGCAAAGAGACTGAAAGTACGGCAAGAGGAGTTGAAACTGGAGAGGGTGCTGGATATGGCCGCGTGCGAGGTGAGGCTGCTGGCACACCACCTTGCAGGACGATGAAAAGGGCCTTATGGCCATTCACCCTGCTCACCCCTTCGTCCCCTCCTGCTCGCCTCCCCTCCCCCGGCCCCGCCCCCGGCCCCGCACTCACCGCCCTCTCTCCCCCCCTCTTTATATCCCTGATATACCTGAGGGCCCCCCGGGGTTCTGTTTCTCGCCACCTGCAACTCCATCCCCCCGTCCTACCCGTCGACCCCTGCTCTTCTGGCAGGTGTATGGTTTGACCCCTCCCCCTCCCCCCTCAAAGTCACCTCCCTAGTGCACCTAATGCCCGTCAATCTTAAAATTTGATTGAACCCCCGGTCATACCCACCCGGTCATACCCACCCGGTCATACCCACTGCAGCACCACCGCAGACTCACGTATGTGTGTGTGTGTGTGTTCGTCCCCCCCCCTCCTCCCC